GATTTTGTTAAAACAGGGAAATGTTCTCACATATTTCCTACTTTTTTCCTTTCAGGATCCCAATTCGAGTTGAAAGTAAATATGAGGAGGTGTCAAAAAGTTCGTGGAAAAATAGAATGAAAAAATATACATAGAATTTTTACATAAACTTTTTGAAGCCCCTTAGAACTTAGAACTTTTATATGTATCTTTGGTGGAATTGCAGCATTGATGTTAATTTGTTGATCTTGAGATAACATCATTGATTATTTTTAGACTAGGTTATATTGAACTATGATACTACTTTAGCATAAATGTTTTTCACCATCACCATGGTGAATAGATAATACTCTCAGGTATTGCATTACATTGCCAGGGTTTGTCTAAGTGTTTGAGGGCCGAGAATCAGAATTAGCACGTAACTAACTAGTGGAGACATTCCTTCGCTCTTCAAATTGTTCACCATCTCTAACTCCAACTGTTGCTTCCAAAGCACTTTCATTAGAATGTCATTAGTATTTTCTGTTATACTTCTGTAGGTTTAATAACTATTGCAAAGGCTGCACAAAACTCAGACAAAAAGTCTCTATTAAAGGAATTTTAAAGAACTTAACAAGTTGTAATGCCAGTGAGAATTGCTTGGGGTTGTTATTTATCAAAACATGTTTCTAAGTTCTATCAAGCCTGTTGTTAAATGCCCAGACGGCATTTCACTCTGCTATAGGTCTCAATCTGAAGGCATTTTGCGTAAGCCCCATAGCTCAGCCAACCCATCTCCCCGATTTAAGTGCCCACACGCACCTCACTCGAGTAAGCCTCAGCTTGAAGGCACTCAGCTCCACTCTGTGGGTCATCCTATCCAAACCTCTTGGTGCTCCGAGGCACCCCACTGTGCTATAGGCCCAGCCTCTTGCACAGAAGCACTCGTCGTTGCTTGCTCTGTGGGGTGGGAAGTCCATCACTCCGCTCCATGCTCTTGACAATAAGAGGTTCCGCTGCTGCTTTTCTGATGGTATAGGTGTCATCTGGATCCAGGGGGTTCACTGCACAGGGATCTCGGGTCCAGAGAATACACTGTACTCCTGGCTCTTGCTGGTAATGAGATCCCACCTCCTGCTTCTCCGAGGGTTCCTTTTATGTACGCTCCAAAAGTCCAGTTCACAATTACTCACATGTGAATCCTGTCAGTAACTTACCTCCCCTTCTTACCAGACCTGTGCAGCAAAAGGTTATTTGGTGGGAGTTAGAGGCTTTGACTAGAAAAGCCACATTAAATAATTCACTGCCCCTGCATGTACCTCTCTGCTGTATTTGATAGTCCATTATAGGCTACTTATTAGGGAAATAACAGATGACTACAACTTGGGATCAGGATCAACTTAGAAATAACAGAAATAAATTGGGATCAGGATCAGGTGGGGTTTAGAATCATGCGCGCTTCCCAGTCACCCAAAGTGGAGAGCACATTTCTGGAATTTTTGTTGCAGAACAGCTTCCAGTCTTCCCCCCAAAGGCCCTTCTTTTGATTGTGCATGGTCCCCTCTTAGCTGTGTGGGCCCCCACTGCCATTGGCCTCTCCACTATTGACTTTTCTGGTATTAACTGGCCTGTCTCACAGGATACAGCAGCTTACTCAATTGCTGCTGCCTTAGCAACAGCTTTCTGCCATCACCACAGGCTCCATCATGTGGTCTCTTCCAGATTGTCACCATTGTCAGTGTTACAGCTCTTGACCCCATGTTTTAGGATGCTCCTCCCCTCCCCTCTCTCTAGTATTCTTTCTTTGCTCCTTGCTGCTAAAAACCTGTCTGTTGACTGGTTGCATAAAGCAAATTCCAAAAAAACAAACAAAAAAAAGCAAATTCCCTATTAATTTCAAAGCATGACTGGCCCAGTAGGACTACAAACTCGACTAATCCTCTCCGTGAGCTAACTGCAAGACACACGATCCTGTTAGGTGGATTTTCAAGCCACTAGTTTTGGAGTTAGTGACCAATCTCTTGCAAAGTGCATAAAATAGGTCAGGCACAGTACCGACAGTGGTCAAGGTCCCAAGGAAAGTATCA